ACATAGATGTAAAAATCCTCAATAAGATACTGGCAAACAGAATACAGAGAGTCATCAAGAAGATTATACACCCTGGCCAAGTTGGATTTATCTCAGGGATGCAAGGATGGTTCAACATATGTAAAACAATAAATGTAATATACTATATTAACAGAGTCAAGGGCAAAAACCATATGATCATCTCTATAGATGCAGAAAAAGCATTCAACAAAATTCAACACCCATTCATGATAAAAAAAAACCTGCAGAAAATTGGAATAGATTGTCTTTATCTCAACTTAATAAAGGCTATCTATGAAAAGCCAACAGCCAACATCATATTAAATGGTCAAAAACTGAAAACCTTCATACTAAAATCAGGAACAAGACAAGGACGTCAACTATCAACAATCCTGTCAATATAGTTTTGGAAACATTTTAGCCACAGCAATTAGATAAAAGAAAGAAATAAAAGCAATAAAAATAGGAAAGGAAGAAGTGAAAGTATCATTCTTTGCTAATGATATGATACTCAACATAGAAGACTCAAAGAATCCACCAAAAGACTTCCAGACTTGATTGACAGATTCAGTAGAGTAGCCGGGGATGGTGGCACATGCCTGTAATCCCAGCACTCTGGAGGCTGAGGCAGGAGGATCGCTGTGAGTTTGAGACCAGCCTGGGCTACATAGTAAGTTCCAAGTCAGTCTCAACTACATAGTGAGACCCTGTCTCAAAAAACAAAAACCAAACAAACAAAAAAGTGAAATATCTACGAATCAAACTAACAAAGGAAACAAAAGACCTCTACATTGAGAACTACAACACTCTGAAAAAAGAGATCAAAGAGGATATAAGAAAATGGAAAGACATCCCTTGTTCCTGGGTAGGAAGAATCAATATAGTGAAAATGGCCATACTTACAAAAGTGCTATACAGATTCAATGCAATCCCTGTTGAAATCCCAACATTATATTTCATAGAACTAGATAAAACAATTCAAAAATTCATTTGGAATCAGAGGAAACCAAGAATAGCAAAAGCAATTCTAGGCAACAGAGGCAGGGCAGCGGATATCACAATCCCCAACTTGAAACTGTACTACAAAGTCATTGTGATAAAAGCAGCATGGTACTGGCAGAAAAACAGACTTGAGGATCACTGGAACAGATTAGAAGATGCAGAAACAATTCCTGACATATTCAACTACCTCATCTTTGACAAAGGAGCCGAACACCCTCACTGGAGGAAAGATAGCCTGTTTAATGAAGGTGTTGGAAAAACTGGATTTCAACTTGTCAAAGATTAAAACTAGACCCATTTCTTTCACCATGCACTAAACTAAAATCCAAGTGAATTAAAGATACAAATATTAAAATAGAAGCACTAAACTTGATGTAAGGTAAGTTAGGTAGAACTCTTGAAGATAGCGACATAGGAAAAGACTTTATTAACAAATCCTCAGTAGCACAGGAACTAGCACAAAGAATCAACAACTGGGATCTCATCTTTTTAAAAAGCTTCTGCAGAGGCCGGGGATTTAGCTCAGTGGTTCCACACCTGCCTTGCAAGCACAAGGACCCGAGTTCGATCCTCATTACAAAAAAAAAGCTGCACTGCCAGAGAAATCACACGCAGAGCTAAGAGACAACCCACAATGTGGGAAAAAAATTTTTACCACCTGTTCCTCAAAGGTCTACCACCTAGAATATACAAAGAACTCAAAAAAGACACCCCCAAATAAAAAGACCCAATTTAAAAATGGGAATCTAAAATGAACAGACATTTCTCAGACAAAGAAGTAAACAGCAAATAATCATACGAAAAAAATATTCATTGGTCATTCAAGAGATGCAGATGAAAACAACACTGAGACTCCACCTCTCCCCAGTAATAATGGCTGCTATCAAGAAATCAATCAATAACAAATGCTGGCAGAGTTGTGGGGAGACAGAACCCCTTCTCTACTGTTGGTGGGAGTGCAGACTGGTGCAACCACAGTGTAAATCAGTGTGATTAGATTAGAATTAGGATCAGAAGTCCCATTTGACCCAGCTATTCCTCTGCTGGGTATCTTCCCAAAAGAATTAAAAGAATCATATCACAGTGATGTATACTCACCAATTGTTATAGCGGCACAGTTTGTAATAGCTAAAATTTGGAAACAGCCCAATTGCCCATCAACTAAAGACTGGATAAAGGTATATGTGTGTGTGTGTGTGTGTGTGTGTGTGTGTGTGTGTGTATGTGTTTATATAAAATGGAGTACTGCTCAGCCATAAAGGACAAGAAACTAGAGACATTTATAGCTAAGTGGATGCACGTTGAGGCCATACTCTTAAGTGAAATTAATAAGTCACACGTGTAAATACCAAATAGTTTTTCTGGTGTGGGAAAAGTCAGTGCAAATAAGGATCCAAATGTACAATTGATATTATGTAATAGGAAGAAAAGTCTAAAAGAGTAGAGGAAGCAGGAGGGTTAAGGAAAAGGTAAAAAAATATGTGAAAAGGAGAAACATGGAAACAATGTCTTTATAAACAGGGAAGGTGGAAGGGGTGAAGGGAGGGCTGGGGAATGGGGAAAAAATAAGAACCAAGTCACATAAAGGTACAAGATCCCAATGATGACTGTAACTGTATTATATACCTAAAATGAACCAGTAAATTTAATAAAGATTTTTAAAAATTACCTGGGAAGCATAAAAACAGATACCCAGCTTTCATCAGACTCTATAAGGGTTGGGCACAGGTCACTTTTGTTGATTTCCCAGGTTCTGTCCTACTAGGGTGTTACAGAGGTCCTAGCCCATCCCTACTAGGGAGAGCAGATTTGAGCTCAGGGATAAAGGCGTGGAATGAGGCGCTCGCTGTGTGTGCCCTCTGCTGGCACCATGTGAGCAGATCACACATCAAGGCCAAGCTGGGAGTAGCTGCTGTCCGTCTGGGACAAGCCCTTTGTAGGCTTGCCGGTGTGGTGACCCTTCAAGGGAGAGGGACAACCCTGCCTGCAACCCAGCATCCAATGGGGCACCCAATGCTTTGAGAGTAGCAGCATCGTAAAACTTTATGGAACCATATGTCACTCACCCTGAACAGAGTTGGGACTTCTGAATGACTTGAGGCCTCCAAGCCTGATGAGCCACCACCAGGCTCTGGGGCACACCTACAAAACCAGGATTCCTAAACGTCTATGGGACAGTCACACTCCCCAGAAAACCTCCAGTTGCCAGGAATTAACATGCAGTGGAAACCATACAAATGAAACAAATCTCTCTACATTTTTTCATCGTTCAACAGAAAGTGAGTAAAAATTAAAAGCTGTTTCCTCCTGGTTCTGAAAACCTCTCAAACTTTTTCTTTCACTGTTCTCTTGCTTTTCTCTGACTTTCTAAGGTTTCCCATGGTGATTAGGATAAAATTCAGGCTCCTCTCCTTAGCAATGAACCACACTGCCGCCCAAAGTGTGCTGTTCCGTTGGTGCCATCTTCAGCTCGCATGTCAGGTCCTGGCTTATGAATCCCTCCTGCAGGGGTGGCGTGCCCTTCCCCCAGTCACGTCCCCCTGCCATCTTGCCTCCACCCATCTGAACCTTTCATTTGTCACCATCTGAAATCACACTTTTGTTTAACAGATTACACACACACACACACACACACACACACAAATTCGTGTGCATGCACACGTGCACACACCAAAGACATTCAACTTTAAGTTCCACAAGAGCAAAAATCTATTAACCACCGTGTCTGACACAAGGCAGATACTCACGAGGTTTGGGCAAAACAAGTAATTTGGAAGCCTGCAGGGAAAAACTGTCTAGAATTACACGCTTTACTTGCTTCTCTGAAATGGAATCAATTAACTAAGAAAACGTAACTTGTTCCACATTGCCACTTTGTACCCCTTAGGATAGCTAGTATCAAAGCATGGAAAATAGCCAGTATTGGGTAAGATGTTGAAGAACCCAACCCCTGGTGCATTGCTAGTCAGAATATAAAACAGAACAGCCACTAAAGGAAAAGTTCAAAGAATTACCACATGCTATGGTTTAAAAGTGCCTGCCAAATGTCCATGTGTTAAGTGCTTGGTTCCCAGCTTGTGCCACTACTGGGACATAATGGACTTAAAGAAGTGGGGCCTAGCCAAGTGTGGTGGCCTATATCTGTACCTGTGGCTCTCTGGGAGCCTGAGGCAGGAGCACTGCAAGTTCTAGCCCAGCCTGGGCAACTGACTGACTTAGCAAGACCTTGTCTCAAAAAATAGAAAAGACTGGGGAGGTACCTCAGTGCAAAGGCCCTGGGTTCAATCTCCAGTACCAATGCGCTACCTAGTAGAAGGAATGCAGATGCCTGGGAGCATCCTCCAAGGGGATATGGGAAGTCTGGCCCCTTCCCATTTTTCTTTGCTGGCTGGATACCAGATAAACAGGCCTCCTCCGTCACATGTTCCCACCATGCCTCACCACAAGTCCAAAGCAAAGGGGCCAAGTGCCCATGGACTGAACCTTCAGAATCACAATATGCCACAATAAGCCAAGAGTTTTATTTTCAATTGGCTTAATTTGTTTTGGTACTGGTACCCAAGGGTGCTCTACCATTGAGCTACACTGCAGTCCTTTTTATTTTGAGATTGGCAAGATGGGACTGTTTGAGATCTAAGTAGTAACAGATATACAACACTATAATGTACTTAATGTGCTTGAACTGCACATTTTTAAATGGCTAAAATACTTCTATTATAAAAATTTTACTACAATAAATGCCTGGAAAGCTACACACTAAACAGTTACTGACTTCTAAAGGGCAAAAATTATAAAGATCGTAACTTTTTCTTCTTTATTTGTTAAAAACTATATGATATATAGATATAGCTGTATCTATATTTTTTGTTTGTTTGTTTTGTTAAACCAGGGGTCAAACTCCGCACCTTGCGCTTGCAAGGCAGGTGGCAGAACCACTGAGCTAAATCCCCCGCCCTATAACAAATATTATTAATTTTGACAACAATGTATACAATCACCTTTAACTTGGTAATGCACAGGCAAGGAGTTCAGCCTGGATTATACGGCAAAACCTTCCAATGCAGGATTGAGATCACCTGGGTTCAGCTGGAGGGTTGTGCTCACATGAACGTTCCTAACCCAGTCTGGGTTCCGTTACTTCCCCAGCAGAATGACAGGAACCCACCCCCAGCTTCACCCCAGTCCCACTCTTAGCCTGTGAGTCTCCTGACATGCTGTCATCTCTGCCCAGTTCTGGGCTGCTGACTGTGCAAAGCCCCTGGCAGTCACTGTTAGTTTTGCAGTGCTGGGATGGAACCTAGGGTCTTACATGTGCAAGCCAAATGTTCCACCACTGGGCCACACGGCAGGCCGACATGCATTGTTTATTTTCACAATGACAACACAAGTCAAGCAGGACTTTCCATTTGACAGATGAGAAAACCAAGGTTCAGACACCATATCCTGCCCAAGCCTGGGAGCTGAGAACGGACAGAACCTAAGGCCCCCAACTCCAGTTCCTCTGCTTCCCTGCCACACCCTCCACCTTCCAATTTCGTAGCAATCGCAGTCTTAGTGAATCCGGCACAGCTTCATCCAAGAATTGGTCTTCAGAAACTTCTGCTTGAACATCAGGCATCTTTTTCCTATAACTGGTTATTACCTTCTGTCTCATGAATTTCCCAAGAGACCAGTTCCCAGGGCCCCTGAGATTGCTCTGCTTCAGCTTTTTCCATGCCTCTGGCCTTCCAGTCAGAGTCCCAGGTGGCCCAGCTCCCGGATGTTCACCTGCGTGTGCCCACTTCTCCAAACACCTGAGTGAACCTCTCTTTGTCCACAATGTGCCCATGACGTAGAGTGAGGTAGAAAGTCTGCTTCCCACTGTACTGCCGGATACACATCAACGTACTCTGAGGCTGGTCTTTGGTTTCTGTCAGGGGCATCACATCCACCACAGGACAGTATGTGTCCTGCCGCCGGCCCCAGAAGGACAGGTGAGCCACTCGTAGCACCGTGCCGGACTCATTCACATACAGGATGCCCACCAGCCTCCGGAAGAAGTAGCTCATCCAGCACAGCATGACCAGGGCGAAGCCAGCCACCCCAGTAGCTAGGTACAGCGAGTTAAGAGTCATATGACCCTGCAAGTACAAGTAGTAGCCTACTGGCAAGACTATCACTGATACGGCTGTCTGTGCCACTTTCAGCCAAGATATGACCCCAAAGGCCCTGATTGCGTTAAAACGGTAGACCATCAGAAATTTCTCTGTCTCTCTGCCTGGTGACTTCTCCTCCAAGGTGGGTGACCTGTTCCCCACCCACCTCTTGGGATTCTCCTGCCCACTGCAGTACCACAGCCTGTGCAGAGGCCTTCCCCTTGCAGCTGGCCCCTGCAACCTCAGCACAACTCGGAGGAGGGCAGCCTAGAAGGGAGAGAAGAGACATTTTTTCATAGGACTCAACCACGTTGATCACACAATGAACATCTGCAAAGCATCCCACAGGGAAACTCCCGACAATCCTGTAAATTCACCATCACAGCCAGAGAAGGGGAGAAAGGTAAAGCCAGACGCTTTGTTTCACGTACACTTCACAAATGCTACTGTGAATGAACACCATTACTTCCTTCCATTTTACCACTAAGGAAAATAAGCCCAGAGAGGGTTAAGAAACTTATCCAAGGGCACACGGTAGAATAAATGGAGCAGAGTCTGGCTCTCAACTGATTCTCTTTCCCCAAGGCAGTTCCAAGCAAATACTGAAAAGAAGGCGTGGCTTCATTCATTCAACAAAGACCTAGGGAGGGCAAACACTGGGCTGGACACTGGATACACAAAGCTGTGTGAACATTTTTCCAAACAGCAAATTTACTGAGACACTCAAGCAACAAATCTGGGAGATTTTTTATCACAGCAACTTTGTAGTTCTCTACCCAGTTTATGCGTTATCCCGGAGCTGGAGAAAACAGCTGTTTTCTACTGGGGGCAGGGGGCAGTAGAGGAGGAATAAGGCAGGGACGGCGCAACACGTAGCACATGGATTTTATTAGTGAGCAGTGCAGTGGGGAGAGCTCTGGGTTTTGGAGCCGGATGTGGGTTCCAATCCTGGCTCGGGCAATCATTAGTCGTGGATCCTTGGGAAAGTTAGTCCACCTAAGCCTTCTTTACTCTTCAAAAAGCATTTAGGAAACAGTGAACGAGATGACGGCTACACAGCCCTCAACGTAGTACTAGTCGCTACACGAGCCCTCTGCGAATCGTAGCTACCACTGTGCCTGGCCCACGTGACCTGAGGGGTACAGAGGACGATGCAACTAGTAACCCACTTTGGGCTTTCTCCCGCAAACTACCGGAGTCAGAAATCCAAGAGTCCTGCCTGCCAGCCCCAGCTGCGAGGGCCCCCTAAACACGTCAACTCCCTCCTGGTTCAACAACCTTCCCCTTACCATGGCCAACGCTGGCTGCCGGAAGTAAATCCCACTAACCCCGGAATCTTTAAGAGCGCATGGTCGGATGTAAGAGGCTTGCGCAGTTCGCGTTGCATCTTGGGAGTCGTGGTCCCGGCGCAGGGCCCGGTGCTATTCCCAGGCATTATGGGACTCTGGGCTTCTCCTCTTCCCGACATGCGCTACGGCCCGGAGTCCAGACCCGGAAGTTCCGGGCTGATTCCTACTGCCAACGAGTCCAGTCAGAGGTGCTCAGGAACCGGAGAGATGGCTATGTCCTGCCCGGCGCTGTGCCTCTTCGATGTGGATGGGACCCTGACGGCCCCGCGGCAGGTAGGCAGCGCTCGGCGGACTGGTGGCTGCTAGTGCGGCGCCCTGCTGCTCCCGTAAGGTTCTTCTGTTACCCGGGGTGGGCGCAGAGGGGCTACTAAGGACCATCTCCCCCTGCCGTGAGCTCAGTCCTCATTTTAGAGGATTGAGGCGGAAGTTCTAACCGCCTGTTTGAGACCGCAGGGTACTCAGAGACCTGAGATTGAGCTAAAAGACTTTTAAGACCAAGAAGGTCTTAAAATGCAAGGGTTTGGAAAAGGCAGGTGCGGACTCAACCTCAAGCCCTGGAGCCTGCTGAACCTGTACTGGAACCCCACCACAGCCTTTTTACCGCCTATGTGACCTCTTCAGTCCTGTCGCCTGTGAGCTATACGGTGTAGCATAACATTTAAAACATCAGTTTCCAGGTCAAACAGACCTAGTGGAAGAGTCTCAGCTTCACCTGTTAACAGCTGCGTGACCTTGAGCAAGTCTGTTAACCTCTCTGAGCCTCCCCGCCCCCCGCCAACTAGCTGCAGCTTTCAGTGGGGTCATTACCTGTTCCATATGGTGTTTTTGAGGACCTGTTGAAATCATGAAAGTATCTGGCATAGACTAGACCTCAAACGTTAGCCATCTCCACCAGCTCCTGGAGTGGACTGGGGTCATGGGAGGAGGCCTAGGGTCTCCAGACTGCCTGCTAAGAGCATCCTTGGGCCCTGGGTATCTTGTTTCTCATTCCCAGATTTTGCTGGTACACTCACTGTTAAATTTCCATTAAGATCAGCCATATGAGCTGAGCAAGATGGCACATGCCTGTAGTCCCAGCACTCGGGAGGCTGAGGCAGGAGGATCGCTGTGAGTTCGAGACCAGTCTGGGCTACATAGTGAGTTCCAGATCAATCTCAACTACATAGTGAGACCCTGTCTCAAAAAGAAAAAGAAAAAAACATCAGCCACATGGTGAGGTTTTATCTGCCCTCTTCACAAAACCATTCAGACTTGGACCCAAATGGCCTTGCATTCCACAAGTTCTACCCCATCCTCATTAGCTTTGGTGAGGTGTGCTCTGGAAGTCCAAGTCTGTGACCTGAAATGTATCATTTTTTTTATTTTATTGGTACATTTTAGGTACACAGTACAGTTACATTCATTATTGGGATCTTGTACCTTTACATGACAAGTCTTGGTTCTCATTTTTTCCCCTTGTCCCTGCCCTCCCTTCACCCCCTCCTCCCCTCCCCATTTACAAGCACTTTATTTCCATTTTTTCATTTTCTCATATTTTTTTTCTTTTCCCTTATTACCTTTCCCCTATCCTTCCCACCTTCCCTACACCTTTAGCCCTTTCTGAAATGTATCATTTTACTTTTCTGACTCAGATCAGCACACACTCGGGTTGTTAAAGAGTTCATAGATGTCTAGGGCTGGGATCCACAATGCATTTTTTTGTAAAAAAAAAAAGTAGAGTAAATACTTTCAATTTTGCAAACCATATGATCTGTAGTAACTACTCAACTTTGGTACAAAAGCAAGCATAGATCATATGTAAACACGGGGACTGTGTTCCAATAAAACTTGAATACAAAAGCAAACAGCCGCTCACTCTGTGGCCTCTTTTACACAATGTTGGATACTCTCAGTCTTCTTTCATCTTTTTTCCCAGGAATAGTTGTTACTACCATTTTATTTTATTTTATTTTTATTTTTATTTATTTATTTATTTGGTTTTTTTGAGACAGGGTCTCACTATGTAGTTGAAATTGATCTGGAGATCACTATGTAGCCCAGGCTGGTCTCGAACTCACAGTGATCCTCCTGCCTCAACCTCCCAAATGCTGGGATTACAGGTGTGTGCCACCACGCCCCAGCCTATTACTACCATTTGAAACACAAGGAAATTTAGACCTCACTGAAGCTCTGACTTCCTCATTTTCACACAGCAGACCTTATGCAAGTCCCTGAACCTCAGGGCATTACTGTTTGTCGAATTTACTGTGCTGAGATGGAAGCTGTTCTGGGTGTCAGGTTCTCTGTTCTGTTCAGAAGATTGCTGCTTCTTCCCAGAAAGAATCCAGGACACATGCATAAAATACAAAGTAAAAAAAAGAAACTATATGACCTACAATGTATTTCCTTGAAGCATGGTATGCCGCTAGACAAGTATTCTTTTTTCTTTTCTCTCTCTCTCTCTTTTTTTTTTTTTTTTTTTTTTAGATAGGGTCTCACTATGTAGTTCAACTGGCCTTAACATTTTGGGCAGTTCTCCTGCCTCTGCCTCCCAGGTGCTGGAATTATAGGCATGTGCCACCACACCCAGAACCATAAATAATTTTAACACTAAAATAAAATAAAATAAAATCTAGCCAGACACAAGTAATCCCAGCACTCAGGAAGTTTGAGGAAGGGAATTAACCATGAATTGAAGGACAACCTGGGCTCTATAGTGAGTTCAAGCCCAGCGTGAATGAACGACATAGCAAGACTGTCTCAAAAAAATAAACAAAATAAAATCTATAATTTAAAAGAGAATTTTCCTGTAGGCTGGGCACTTTAAATTAATTTAGCAACAAATCTACTGATCATAGTGAAAGGGGGTTCGCGTGCCCTTTCTGGTGCCCCTTCCCAATTAGGCCACTCATGCAACGAGAGGTCCGGCAGGAGATCTTTATTGTAGGGAAGCAAGCAGGAGGCAGGAAGGCAGAGAGAGAGAGAGGAGGAGGAAGAAGCAGAAGGAGAGAGAAGAACAAAGAAAGGAAGGTCCTTTTATCAGTTTGGGGGTGGGCTATTGCTTATGTATGAGGAGTGAGCTACTTTTAACCTATCACAGGCCACATTGCTTTTATGGGCCCAGTCCTGCAGACACAGGTTTCAACTTTCCTGGACCACTGTGGCCTTGGGGGGAAGGGAAACCAGAGATAAGGGCATGAGGTCATTTTAGGAGCCAAGATGTACCAGGAGAATGCAGCCTGTGGGGCGGCGTCACAGCATACTTTAACATGATCAATTCCCTAACATTCCCCACTCTTTGATTTTGGATGACAATCGACAGCCAACATGTCCATGGCAAGCGGAAAAAGGGGCGGAGAGTCTGTCTTCTGTAACTACTTCCTGCGGAATTGGGGCGACGAGTCAACCTAGGGGCAGCCATGGAGGTTGGCCAGCTGAGTTGTCCTTTATGAACATGGAATTGTTGACAGCAGCAGCATTATCATTGGAATTGTTGGTAGGGCTTCCTGAGAAAAGTCCAAGCACGCAAATCAGTTAATGAGGGAGGGGAGAGTAGAAGATAATTTGTATGAGGCTGTGGACTGGTTGGAGGGTTATTAAGAACAAGTATAACGGTAAAGATTGTGACTTCAGACAGGGTGAAATCTGATAAAGTTTTTTTGGAGCTGTGCATTAGTGATCTAGTCGGCTATCGTAATAGGAGGAGGGTGGGGAGTAAACCAGAGAATATCAGTCCAAAGATCATTTAGAAAATGTTTAAATTGAGCCGAGATCTGAGTTATGGTTAGTTGGTTGGCTGTCATGTAACATGGTGGTCTCACTGGGGTCTCTGGCCTGAAGTATCAGCTGATGAGCCGTCTGTCGGGAGACTTGAGTGGAGAGGCGACTGACCTGGGATTGAATAAGATGGAGAACACAGGGGGCAACTGTATAGGTAGATAGGGAAAGGGCAGCAGAAATCAGCTGTGGGCCAGTCTGAAGAGCGGCAGGAATTTGATGATTTGGTCAAAGAACTGGCATAAGGTGGCCTGGAATGTGATATCAGGAGATCATACCTGGGTCTGAAGGAGGGCTGAGTTAGGCTGGGAGAGAGTCAAGGTATATACCAGGGGCCTATCGGCTTGGGTAAGGTTTAGGAGAGAAAACAGGAGCAGGAGAGGAACCATTATTGTTTCCAGTAATTAAGAATGGCAAAGAATGAGATTATGAGGTAATAGGTCAATGAGACTAAACACCTGGAAGTAAAATTATAATTGGGAGGAGATATTGTGGCCAATCCTATCCCAAGGACAAGTCCCAGAAGTACTAATATAAGAAGACTTAAGATATCAATGGCTGTTGTAGTGTGAAATGGGTCACAGTACCCTGTGAGAGGATGAGAGGGTAAACAGTTAGGTTGGCTTATCTGACTCAGGACTGGATGATGGTGAAGGATCCTGGGCAATATTTAAATTTAGAGCAGGGCTTTGAGTGCATTGTCTCCTGGAGTCAAAGTCTATGAAGTTTTCTGGATAGACCTGTTTTACTTTAGAGTGGTGGTAGCTGAACTTTAGTTAACTTGACAGCTGTGGGAATAACCATAAGTGTCTTATATATGGCTCTTTTCATATATAAAGTCTTTTAAGATATAGGGTGGCCTTCCAAACAAGATCTCATATGGGGAGAACCCAGTATGACTTGGGGTATCTTTTATTTAAAAGAAGGTCAAAGGGAGCCGATTAACTCATAACCTGGTGTTATTTGACAATATTTACCTTAAGGGTATAACAGTTTAGCTAGATCTTATATAACCTGTTATAAACGTTGGCCTATTGTCATTGTCTATGGAGAGAGGCAGACCAAACCTTGGAATTTTTTTAATAAAATCTTGTACACTTCTGAAGCCCTCTGTTTTTATAAGGGAAGGCCTCAGGCCCTCTAGAAAAAGTACAGACCCATATTAACACATTTATAACCTTTATAGGGAATGGGTGTCTTAAGAGAAATATTTGGGAGGAGAATGGGCCTCAAAAGTCTGTCACTAGTGTCTGTTTATTGATTGTCCCTTTTGGTTATACTTTTCTGATGGGTGTTTAAGACCATATTAGAATGAGACCTGTGTTAATCAATATGAACTTCTTATTATCTATCTGCCAAGGTCAGTTAAGTCTCTTTAGGCATTATTTTGGAACCATGTAATAGAGCCTCTCAGCTCCCAGTGTCAACTGTTAGGATGGGTCCCGGTCTTGCTTGACCATGGTGCTTTTAGTAAAAGCATGGAAGATTTTTCTGGTGACCCTCCTTTAGCACACATT